TAAATATATTTAATAGATAATATAGCAGTAGAATTGTTGATTTGGTTATGCAATGCAGATATATAGTTTTAAGCTTGTACATTGTTAAGTTGTCTAAAACTATATATTTGGTGGTAGAATATGATTGTATTAGAAATATAGCTTGTAAAGCCTGCCTTGTGTTTAGTAACTTGTGTATACTGGTTTGTAATTTTTGAACATATGTTTGGATATATAATTGTATTGAGTGTTCTGTAAGAGAAGTATGGAATGAGTACTGAATTAATAATATATATAATTTGTTTGTCAGTGATTTTCTTTTTTTTAATTGTTTTAATAAAGCTAGTAACCTCCTTTGTGATATGCTTGTGAATAGTTTTATGGCTTTTGATAGTGCAAATCAACAGCTGAAATAGCAGAATATTTTTTGGGGGGATAATATAAATAGTAGAGTTTGCAAAGCAGATAGTTGGTATAGAATCAGTAGTCCTATTTGTGGCTAAAGTAGATTTTGATAGATTTACAGTGGTAATATATTGTAGAATAAGTTATAATTATAGCTATTTAGTTGTTGTTTTTTTACTTTTTGATTAGTGCTTACTTTTTTTTCTTACTTGTATCTTTTTATTATATTTCTCTATATCTCTATATTTATTTTATACAAGTATTGTAACCGAACTTCTGCTAATTCACAGTTTCCAGCAGATGATATAGGATTATGTATGAGGTTAATAATATCATCTGCATAGTAATTATTACCGACTTTACAAGCACAAAATCCAAGATCAATCCAGTGTGGTAGCTCAATTGTAGGAAGATATCCTTGAAGTATGATTGAGTAGAAAATACAAACATGACGTTTTGATTCCGGAAGAGACCTGAAAGGAACGGCTTGATCATGTTCGGAAAGATAAGGTTTGGCAAGTAAAATCATTTTATCTGCTAAAGGTTCAAGGGATTTTTCACCCACATATTTATACAGATCTTGCAACAAGTGTTCATTTTTTAAAAACTATTTATAATGTTCACTGGTATAACCACCATCATCATATGCTTTTTTAATGTTAAGTGGTAGTTCGCCATTTTCTCGCCATGAATGTAGCTGAGAGGCGTTACAACCTATAATTTTTATAAGACCAATGTACAAGCCACAAAGATTCGTTTGATCTAGAGAAGTCATGCAATTTTCAAATCCATATTCATATAGCACCGTAGAATTTGTAGGTATAAGGTCACGATAAACACCTTTAACAAGAATGTCTGCTGATCTTTGAGGGCAAACCAGAATATGATTTGCATAATCATTCTTTTGGTATGATTTACTGCAATAATATTTAAGTTTGCATCTTGAGCAACATTTATTTGTTGGTTTTTTTTACATATTACATTCCGTTTTCATAAATTTAGATTTTGGAAAAAAAAATTTTTTTTAGATAAGAATGCAGGTTGTTATTTTTTATACCAGAAACGTAGCACGCTTGCATAACGGTTTATTGCCATCTAGAATAGCGTGTACGCAAAATCAATTTGATTGGATAGCATGATTATAGTGATCATATTCACATGTTACGTACGTATGTTACTAGTTAACGTCGTTCAGCTACGTACCTTATTTGAGGTTTGTAAAATAGGTTAGTCATGTCCAGATCACGTCATCAACGATCTCTTCCGGCCTCTTTGACATAGCCCGATAAATCATATATTACATGAAAATTAAATCAATATTAAATTAATATTTATATTGATTTAATTTTTGTGTAATATATGATTTATCGGCCTATGTCAAAGAGGCCGGAAGAGATCGTTGATGACGTGATCTGGACTTTTTTTTGCCATGACTAACCTATCTAAGTTTGTATCACTCTCACATAAGAAGCACGTAACACCAAAGAGAACATTTCTCTCGGCAATAATACGTTTCAAAGCTTATAATTATTGAATACAGAAGACACAAAACTGCTTTCTTAGTTTAAAAAGTAACTAATTGTGTTTAAAAGATTTTTACATTAACACATGCCCATATAGAACTGATAATCGAGTCAATAGTACATTTACAATATGAATGGATATAAAACTTTGCTTGCAAATTTAAGCATGTCGTTAGATGTTGAACCAAATAACTCAAAAACATTAAATGATCGTGGATTAATTTATTATTTGATAGGCAAATATAAAGAATCACTTGCCGATTTAAACGAATGTTTACGAGTTAAACCAAATAATTTAGCAACATTAGGAATTCGTGGATTAGCTTATTAAAAGATGGGTCGGTATGAATAGTCGCTTATGGATTTCAATAAATTATTGGAAATTAATCCGAATAACACAACGGCATTACACAATCGTGGATTAGTCTATCGAAAGATGGGCAGATGTGAAAAATCACTTGCAGATTTAAAAAAAATTGAGTCAAATAATATAATGGCATCAAATCAACTTATGGCAACCTATTCCGCATTAAATCGTGGATTAGCTTATTATAAAATTGGAAAATATAAAGAATCACTTGAAGATATAAATAAATTATTAGAAATTGATCCCACTGATGCAATGGTTTTAAATATTCGTGGATCAATCTATAATCGAGTTAAAAAATATAAAGAATCACTTGAAGATTTAAATAAATCATTAGAAATTGATCCAAATAATGTTTTGGTACTAAATAATCGTGCATCTACTTATATCGAGATAGGTAGTTATAAGGAATCACTTGCAGATTTAAACAAATTATTAAAAATTGACCCTAATTATACAGCAGCTTTAATTAATCGTGGAGTTGCTTATATTCATATTGGCAGATATGAAGAATCACTTGTAGAATTTAATAAATTATTAGAAAGTGACCCAAATAATGCAATAATTTTAATGAATCGTGGAAGAACTTATAGTGCAATGCACAGATATGAAGAGTCGCTTGAGGATTTAAATAGATCATTAATAATTAATCCAAATAATGCATTGGCTTTAAGTATACGTGGATTGGCTTATGAAGAAATAGGCAGATATGAGGAATCGCTTGCAGATTTTAATAAATTATTAGAAACTGACCCAAATAATGCTTTGTATTTAAGTTATCGAGCAAATATTTATAAAAAGATAGGCAAGTATAAAAAATCACATGCAGATTTTAATAATAAATCATTAGAAAATAATCTTAATGATTCGGCATCTTTAACTGATCGTGGAATCATTTACAATAAGATGGGCAGATTTAAAGAAGCATTTGCAGATTTTAATAAAGCATTAGAAATTAATCCAAATTATGTGACAGCTTTAAGTAAACGTGGGTCTACTTACTATAAAATTAGGGTAGCTGCGCGACGTAGTCGCGCTAAAACCAGGAACGGAGAATGTTTATATGAATGAATTAATTGATAC